GAGTGTATCGATCTTGCTGTACCGTGCCGACGGCTGTGCTGTGCTGGGCCGTGCTGAATTGCCATGTGCCACGCCGCGATTGTGCGAGTCCTCCTTTGCATCCGAGTCCTGACCGAACTAATCTGGATCTGAAGCTCGAGCTGCCTGAACACATAGTAGCTGTCCCACAGAGCTAATTGACAAGGGGACATGCCAGGAGGACGCACCGCGAAACGTCCCAAGGGACGCGCCAGGCGACGTGCCAAAGGACGTGCCATGGGGTCGCACCGCGGGACGTGCCAAGGGAACGCGCTACGGAACGTGCCAATGGACGTGCCACAGGACGTGCCAGGGAACGCGCCACGCGACGTGCCAGGGGGACTCGCCACAGGACGCGCCACGGAACGTGCCAGGGAACGTGCCAAGCTGCCATGCTGAGTGTATCGATCTTGATGTACCGTGCCGACGGCTGTGCTGTGCTGGGCCGTGCTGAATTGCCATGTGCCACGCCGCGATTGTGCTCTATAGTGTCGTGGATCGAGTCCTCCTTTGCATCCGAGTCCTGACCGAACTGAGCTGGATCTGAAGCTCGAGCTGCCTGAACACAGAGTAGCTGCCCCACAGAGCTAATTGACAGGGGGACATGCCAGGAGGACGCGCCGCAGAACGTCCCAAGGGACGCGCCAGGCGACGTGCCAAGGGACGTGCCATGGGGACGCACCGCGGGACTTGCCGAGGGGACGCGCTACGGAACGTGCCAATGGACGTGCCACAGGACGTGCCAGGGGACGCGCCGCGCGACGTGCCAGGGGGACTCGCCACAGGACGCGCCACGGAATGTGCCAGGGAACGTGCCAACTTGCAATGCTGAGTGCCTGGGCGACCTGGACACGTGAAAACAAGCGTATCTCTCGAGACATTCTCAACACATCCTCATGCTAGGCATCCGCCTGGGCAACCTGGACACGTGCAAACAAGCGTCTCGATCGAAACTTCCTCAACACATCCTCATGCTAGACATCCGCCTGGGCGACGAGGACGCGTGAAACCAAGCGTCTCGCTCGAGACATCCTCAACAAATCCTGGCACTAGACCTCTGCTTGGGCAGCCTAGAGGCGTGAAACCAAGCGTCTCGCTCGAAACATCCTCAGGACCTGGGCACGTGAAAACAAGCATTTCGCTTGAGAGATCCTCTGAATTCAGGTCCCCAGGAAAAGACCATCTATAACACAAAACAAGCGTTTCGCTCGAGCCATCCTCAACAAGTTCTGAAACAACAAGCGTTTCGATCGAGACATCCTCAAACATATGTCCGCCGGCCTCCTTCAAACTCGTCATTCATAGCAAAATAATTCCGCCGGCCTCCTTCAAGTCGATTCCGGGGGTAAACCTCTAAAAGAGAACCCTGGGCCCCCGCCCTTTCGGGGGAAAAATGAAAGAGAAAGAGAAAGAGAGAGAGCGAGAGAGAGAGAGAGAGAGAATGTGGGAGAGAGGGAGGGAGAGAGAGACAGAGGGAGAGAGAGAGGAAAGAGGAAAGAAACAAATAAGAGACCGAAAGAGAGAGAGAGATGTGTATATATATATATATATATATATATGAAAGAGATGCAGCACACATCACAAACAAGCATACGTACATATACACAGACACACATAGATGTGCGTGAACAGACATACATACATACATACGTACGTACATACATACCTACATACATACATGCGTGCATACATACATGCATACATACATGCACATACATACACATATAAGGGACCCGAACACAACATATCACCGATCCCCAGGGCCACTCATGGATGTCACGCGCGCCTCGGCTGACGCGTGACATTCTGGCACGGCGTACAATAGCGACCGAGAAAACCCGCGAAAGGCCAGCGGGCGCCAAAATGTTTCCCGAGGGGGGCGACAGGAAGCGGCAGCGGCGGAGGACGAAGGAGGAGGGGAGGACGAGGAACTTGAAACAAAACATGATCGACCCACGAATCCGGAAAGGAATATAGAAATGTATTGCGTGGCAGCGTTTCAAAGACACCTGATTGGGCGACGGGCAAATGCAATGCTGAATGTATCGATCTTGCTGTACTGTGCCGAGGGCTGTGCTGTGCTACGCCGTGCTGAACTGCGATGTGCCATGACGCGATTGTGCTCTATATAGCGTTGTGGATCGAGTCCTCCCTGGCATCCGAGTCCTGACCGAACTGATCTGGATCTGAAGCTCGAGCTGCCTGAGCAGATGGTAGCTGCTCTAGAACTAATCGACAGAGGGGACATGCCAAGATGACGCGACGCGGAACGTCCCAAGGGACGCACCAGGCGACGTGCCAGGGGACGTGCCATGGGGACGCACCGCGGGACGTGCCGAGGGGACGCGCTACGGAACGTGCCAATGGACGTGCCGCGGGACGTGCCAGGGGACGCGCCGCGCGACGTGCCAGGTGGACTCGCCACGGAGCGCGCCAAGGAACGTGCCAAGGTGCAATAATGAGTGTATTGATCTTGATGTACCGTGCCGAGGGCTGTGCTGTGCTGGGCCGTGCTGAATTGCGATGTACCATGCCGCGATTGTGCTCTGGATAGCGCTGTGGATCGAGTCCTCTTTGCATCCGAGTCCTGACCGAACTGATCTGGATCTGAAGCTCGAGCTGCCTGAGCAGATGGTAGCTGCCCCAGAACTAATCGACAGGGGGACATGCCAGGAGGACGCGCCGCGGAACGTCCCAAGAGACGCGCCAGGCGGCGTGCCAGGGGACGTGCCATGGGCACGCACCGCGGGACGTGCCAAGGGGACGCGCTACGGAACGTGCCAGTGGACGTGCACCGCGCGACGCGCCAGGGGGACTCGCCTCGGGACACTCCGCGGAACGTGCCAGGCAACACGCCAGGCTGCAATGCTAAGGGCATCGATACTGATGTACCGTGCCGAGGGCTGTGCTGTGCCTGGGCGACCTGGACACGTGAAAACACGCGTTTCGCTCAAGACGTTCATAGCACATGCTCATGCTAGACATCCGCCTGGGCAACCTGGACACGTGCGAACAAGCGTCTCGATCGAGACTTCCTCGACACATCCTCATGCTAGACATCCGCCTGGGCGACCTGGACACTTGAAGACAAGCCTCCGGCTCGAGATATCCTCAACAAATCCTGGCGCTATACCTCTGCCTGGGCAACCTGGAGGCGTGAAACCAAGCGTCTCGCTCGAGACATCCTCAAGAACTGGGCACGTGAAAACAAACATTTCACTTGAGAGATCCTCTGAATTCAGGTCCCCTATCTATAACACAAAACAAGCGCTTCGCTCGAGACATAATCATCAAATTCTTCAAAACCAGCGTTTCGCTCGAGACATCTTCAATTTTTAATTCGCCAGCCCCCTCGACCTCGATATTTATCGCAAAAGAAATTTGCCGGCCCACCTAAAGTCAAACCCGGGGGTAAACCCACTAAAAGAGAACCCTGGGCCTATGCCCTTTCCGGGAAAAAAACAAAAAGACAGAAGGCTCCCCGGAGCTGGCCGTCCGAACAAATGATCACGCGATGCGCGCTGCGACGTCTCGCCAAGCTTCGGCTCTGGCCAGACCCTAAGCCTGCTCGGTCCAATTTTGCCTGGGCCTGCCCACCCGCCGCGCGCAATGCGCAGTTTCCGGAATGCTGCCTCGGCCACGACCGCCGGTCTGCCACCATCGCCATGACTGCTACTGTGGGACGCGACCTCACTTGACAGCCGCCGCCTCTCCCACTGCCGCCCGCCCGTACCTCCAGCACCCCACCGTCCTTTCCGTCGCCTTGTTTCGCCCCCCCTCTCCCTCATTCGTCGTGCTACCCCCTCCGTCTCGCGTGTGGCGACGGGCGGGGGTCCTGCAACATGCGCAGGCTCTCTCCGCCCGCTGCACTTCATCCTCTTGCAATCCCAAAGCTCTCCGTTGCATCCGCCATGCATCCTCAACCGCTCCCCCTCGACTCCTGCTACTCCTCTTCCTCGCGAACGCATCCGCCCCACTTCTCGTCGTCTCCTCCTCCTCATCCTCATCCTCCTTCTTGTCATCATCAGCATCATCATCACCAAAAGCAACATCAATAACATCATCGTCGTCGTAATGAGCAGCTGCATCATCACCATCATCATCATCATCATCATCATCATCAGCATCATCGTCGTCGTAAGCATCGTCGTCGGCATCATCAGCATAATCATCACAGCCACTACCACCACCATCACCACCATCATCATCATCACCATCATCATCATCATCATCATCATCATCATCATCATCATCATCATCATCATCACCGCCACCATCATCATCATCATCATCATCATCATCATCATCATCATCATCATCACCATCACCATCATCATCACCATCATCAGCAGCAGCAGCATTATCATCACCAACACCGTCATCATCAGCATCATCATCAGCAGCAGCATCAGCATCATCATCATCATCATCATCATCATCATCATCATCAGCATCATCATCGGCATCATCATCATCATACGCAACAACATGATCGTCACATCATCATTGTCGGCATCAGCATCGTCACCATCATCAGCATCAGCATCGGCATCATCACCATCAGCATCATCATCATCGGCATCATCATAATCAACATCATCACGATCATCACGATCATCATCATCATCATCATCATCATAATCAGCATCATCATCATCGTCATCATCATCACCATCATCATCATCATCATCATCATCATCATCATCATCACCAACGTCGTCATCACCATCATCAGCATCATCATCATCGTCACCTCCCTCCTCCTCTTCCTCTTCTTCTTCCCCCTCCTCCTCCTTCTCGTGCCCCGGTCGGTCATCGGCACCTGGGCGGTTCCTGGCGCGTTCTGGGCAGAATTCCCAGGGTCCAGCCATGGCGACCAGAGGCCCCACAAAATTAATAACCCTCGGGCAGCCTCGGACCTAAAGGATCGACCCCCCTCCTCTGCGATAGCATTCGCATGCCCCCCCCTCGCCCCTGCCCACTTCCACGATGTCGCTGTCGACGACAAGGCGCTGTAGGACAGCGTGTGGGGGACCGTCGGCGTGGCCGTGGTGTCAACCACGTCAACCCTGGATCCAGCGCGCGGTTGCTGTGATTCCTCCTCCTTTCTGTCCACTTCCTCTTCCTTTTCTTCCTCCTCCTCCTCCTTCTCTTTCTCCTCCTCCTCTTCATCCTCCTCCTTCACGACCTCCATCCTCCTCCTTCTCCTCCTCCCCCTCCTCCTCCTCCACCATATCTACATGGTATGAATACTACTTTCCTCTCTGCCCTGAGTCCATCCAGAAGATGCCCCGCACTATACACGTATTGCTTCTTGCACACACGAAATCAAACAATGATGTATCACTGGTACTTGCCATCTGATTGTTTCTGGTGCTTCAAGGTGGTGCTCCTTCTGCAGCGTGGGTCTCATGCTCAGATCGGCGCTTTGCTCCACTCTTTCAGAATGGAGCTCTCGCCCCAACGAAGGCCACTGCTCTGGATCCGAGTCCTTCCTTATTGTTGTCGCCCCCCTCCTTTCCCATGGCTCCGCCTTCACCTGGTCCTCCTGCTCCTCCCGTTCCTTCTACTTCACTTCCCGCTGCTGCTGCTCGTCCTCCTCCTCCTTCTCCTCCCTCTCCTCCTCCTGCTCTACCTCTTCCTCCTCATCCTCCGTCCTCATCCTCATCCTCATCCTGATCCTCCTGCTCATCCTCTTGCCTCTTCGACACCTCCTCCTCATCCTTCTCCTCCTCCTGTGTATCTAGCTACCTGTTTTCCGACTGCGCATAACACGGTGGGATCTTTTTCGGAGTTCCAGGTCCGCCGTGGCACGTGTCCGCGGATATTGGACACATCAGCCCAATGGAAATGGGTGTGTGGGAAGTAGGGTGTCAGGCATGGCGCGAGTGCACCTGGCTTGTCCGCCTCTTCCATTTGGTGACACCATGTGACTGCTACTCGCCTCTCCCCCGAATTCGTGCTCGTATTCCCCCTTCCGCGTATTGTGTGTCACACACACACACGACGTGGGCGATCTAGTATTCCCTATGTGCTCTTCCAATCCGAACGTGTTCGGTCCTTCCATAACGGGATTCCCGCTGCAGCGTGGGCTTCAGTTTAGGATCGGGGCTCTGCTTCACTAGTTCAAGTGCACTCTCGCACCCCAGCGCGGACAACTGTTCTGGACCCGGTTCGTTCCTTATCGATGTTGCCACCTACTTTCCCTCTCCTCTCTCATCTCTCCTCGCTCCTCTCTCCTCTCTACTTCCTCCTGTCTCCTCTTCTTCCTCCTCCTCATCCTCCTCATCATCATCATCATCATCATCATCAGCATCATCATCATCAGCATCATCATCATCATCATCATCATCATCATCATCATCATCATCAACATCATCACCATCATCATCATCATCATCATCATAACCAGCATCAGCATCATCAACATCAGCATCATCAGCACCATCAGCATCATCAACATCATCACCAACACCATCATCAGCAGCAGCGGCAGCATCATCATAATCATCAACATCACCAGCATCCCCATCCACTTCATCGTCAGTACCACCAACCACATAAATCAGCAGCATCATAATCATCATCATCCACATCATCCGAATCGCCCTCAACATCATCATCATCAGCATCATCGTCACCATCATCACCAACATCAGCATCATCATCACCAGCATCATCAGCATCAGTATCATCATCAGCAGCATCATCAGATCATCATCACCACCATCATCATCAGCATCATCATCATCATCACCATCACCATCATCATCACCATCACCATCATCATCATCATCATCATCAGCATCATCATCATCATCACCATCATCATCATACCATCATCATCATCATCATCATCATCATCATCATCATCATCATCATCATCATGATCATCATCATCATCATCATCATCATCATCAGCCCCCTATCCCCTTCTCCTACTCCTCCGCCTCGTCTTCTTCTTCTTCTTCTTCTCCTACTCCTCCCCCTCCCCCTCCTGCTCCTCCTCGTCATGCTCCTCCTCCTCCTCCTCGACCTCCTCCTTCTCCGCTTCACCCTCCTCCTCCTACTCTCCCTCGTCCACTTCCTCATCCTTCTTCACGACCTCCATCCTCCTGCGTTTCATATTGTTCTGTGTGACCCCCGCCTCCTCCTCCTCCTCCTCCACCTCCTCCTCCTCCCAAACGTCCTCGTCCTTCTCCTCTTTCCCCTTCCCCCCTCCTCCTCCTCCTCCTCCTCCTCCTCCTCCTCCTCCTCCTCCTCCTCCTCCTCCTCCGCATCATCGTCATCATCATCATCATCATCATCATCATCATCATCATCATCATCATCATCATCATCATCATCATCATCATCATCATCATCATCATATCATCAGCATCATCATCACCATCATCACCATCATCACCATCACCATCATCATCATCATCATCATCATCATCATCACCACATCATCATCATCATCACATCCATCACCATCACCATCATCAGCATCAGCATCATCATCATCATCATCATCATCATCAGCAGCAGCATCATCATCATCATCATCATCATAATCGCCATCATCATCATCATCATCATCATCATCATCATCATCATCATCAGCATCATCATCATCATCAGCGTCCTTCTCTTCCTCTTCCTCCTCCTCCTCGTCGTCGTCGTCCTCCTCCTCCTCCTCCTCCTCCTCCCCCTCCTTCTCCTCCTCTCCCTCTTCCGCTTCCTCATCCTCGTCCACGACCTCCTCCTCCTCCTCCCACTCGTCCTCCTCCTCCTCCTTCTCCTCCTCCTTCTCATCATCCAAATCCTCCCCCTCGTCCTCAAAATCCTCATACTCTTCCTCCTTCCCCTCCTGCTCCTCCTCCTCATCCTCCTCCTCGTCCTTCTCCTCCTCCTCCTGCTCCTCCTCGCCCTCCTCCTCCTCCTCCTCGTTTTCCTCCTCCTCCTCTTCCTTTTTCTCATCCTCTTCGTCCTCCTCCTCATGGCAGCCCAGGGGAGGATGGAGGAAAGGACTCCACGGGTGGACACTTTTTATGCTCGATGCACGGGCCCCGTTGTACCACGCCTGGGCCTTGCAGCAGCGGGGCGGCGCGCGAGCGCACGTCTGTGCGCGCCCGCGCGCCCATTGCGGGCGTTTGCAGCACGGGGAGGGGGAGGAGGAGGAGGAGGAGGAGGAGGAGGAGGAGGAGGAGGAGGAGAAGGATAAAGAGGAGGAGGAGGAGGGGGATAAAGAGGAGGAGGAGGAGGAGGGGGAGGAGGAGAAGGAGGTGGAGGAGGAAGAGGAGGAGGAGGAGGCGGAGGAGGAGGAGGAAGAGGATGAGGAAGAGGAGGAGGAAGAGGAGGAGGAAGAGGGTAAAGAGGAGGAGGAAGAGGATGAGGAAAGGGGAGGAGGAGAAGGAGGAGGAGGAGGAGGGCGTGGGAGAGGAAACCAGGAGGAAGGTGATGAGATGAGATGAGGTAGCGGTCAGAAGCCAATTCGGGGAGGCTAGTCAGGACCCAAATCGGAGGCCTCAGGATGCGCCGACCCCCGCTTGCCGAGGGTGAAAAGGCATGGGAGACATTTGGCTGTCTCCCTCCCCCTTTCCCCTCCCCCAAAGTCCAAAATCCGATTCAAGGGGTGGAGGGACAAGCTCGCCAACCATCCTGGAGGCTCTCCGGAGCCCCCAAAAAGCCCCAAGGCATCCGATAAGGCCCAGACAGAGCGCCCAGACAGTCGAAGAGAGCGGAATGACGGCCCAGGGTAGCCCCACGAAGGATCCAAAACGGCTTCAAACTTGCCCACGAGGCCCCCAAGACAGCCCGAAAGCATCTCCAGAGGATCGCCGAGAGGGCACCAAGAGGTCAAAATCATCACCTTCCAGGGAGAAGCGAACATTTTCAGCACATTCGCATCTCACGCTTTGGCAGCGAACACGACGGCCCAATTGGCCCCCGAAGATCGACACAAAACGGCCCACGAAGTAGAAAAGAAGCCATCGGGGGATGGTAAGCCCTAAGGCTGATGTAGAAGTAGTTATGATCTTCTCCTCTTCTCAATCGAAATCAGTGTTATGCTGATTAATCAGATCCGGGCGTCGACAACCTTGAACCAAACAGCCGCGGATGCGCTCGCTCCTGCTTTGCCTCCGCTCGCTGACGCGACGCACGGTCCCCTTGAAAGTTGGGAGCGGAGGAGATCGAAGCACATCGTGGCGCCAAGGCTTCAGGCGCAACTCCCACATGGGCCTGCTATGTGCTATGCCCTGGACGAGTGGCCGGCATAGCGGGACCACCTCATGCGTACACCCTATGGGGTCGAGAAAACTCCTCGCCTGCTGTGCCCTGGACAAGAAGCGCGCGTAGCAGGACCACTCCCTGCGCACCCCCGATGGGGTCGAGAAAACTGCAGGCCTGCTGGGCATGGGACGAGAGGCGCGCATAGCGGGACCAGCCCCTGCGCACGCTCTATGGTGTCGAGAAAATGGCACGCCGGCCATGCCCTTCGACAATGGCGCGTATATAGGGCGCGCTGAGGGACCACCCCCTGCGTACCCCCTCTGTTGTCAAGAAAGTGCCACGCAGGCCACGTCCTGCGCAACCTACGCGTATGTGTTGTGTGATGTGCGTGTCATGTGGTTGACGCGGTCTGCGTCTGTATGTGTACTCTGTTGTCGAGGAAGTGCCACGCAGGCCACGTCCTGCGCAACCTAAGCGTATGTGTTGTGTGATGTGCGTGTCATGTGGATGACTCAGTCTGCGTCTGTATGTGTATGATGTGTGTGTGTGTGTGCGGCTGTATGTGGACGGGTGTCTGCAGTATGTATGTGTGAGGCGCGCGCGTACTCTTTGCATGCTCATGTGACTGCATGTTCGTTTGTGTCTGCTTGTCTGGTGCGTGTTCAAGTGCAGGTGAGAAGGAGAAGGAGAGGAGGGAGGTGAGGGAGGCGCGGGTGCGACGCGGCAGGGAATAAAACCATAATCCCACGAAACATGCGGGGGGAAATACAGAAGCATAGACTGTCCGAGGTCCGCGCATATGTTTGGGATCTGCGCTAAAATCCCCGCCCTGGCGCGCGGAACGCGCCAGGGGCGGCGCCGGAGGCGCCGCCAGGGGGCCCCAGCGCCGATCCAAGAAATCTGCGTGGAGTTCCGACAGCTTATACTTATGCAATTCACTCTTCTTCGAAAGGAGTAGGAGGAGGAAAAGGAGAAGGATAGGGGACGAGGAGGAGGGGGACCAGTGGAAACCCAAGACTCAACTATGTTGAAATACGCCCTCCTTCCAAAATCCCTCTTCATAGCCCCTGCACGGGGTCATTTCCACTGAAAGAATCGCCCCGTTGGGGGAAAACCGTGTGAACATCTTGCAGCGTGCCGAAACACAATTCCCAGGATTTCAACGCCACGAGTCAGCCTGACTGTTACGTCTTGGTGATCCTGAACCGTACCAGAACACCATTCCTGGGACTTCAACGCCGCGAATCAACGTAAATGTTGCGCCTTGACAATCCTGAATCGCTCCAAAACACTGTTTCTGGTACGCTAAACATGAGAAGCACTTGCAAGTTTAGGACGAGTATGCGCAGCGCTAAAGCGAAAACCACATGTTGGAAACCACCCGCCCTCAATCCGTGAAGCCCTTGCATGTGTTTTAAGACAGACAAGTGTGCGCGTCGCTAAGGCGAGAGCCACATGTTGAAAACCACCCATCCTCAATCCGTAAAGCTCTTGCAAATCATTCAAGCGAATGCGCGCGTCGCTGAAACGAGATCCATATTTTGAAAACCACCCACCCTCCATATGTAAATATGTTGACACTGTTGCCGTAAGCATCAGGATCATAAGTGGTGAGCAAGTCTCAAGCGAAACGTCCAGCCCCCCTTTCGACCGGCTTCGGAGTGTGACAGGAAGGAGCTATCTGCTAGAACAAGGCGTGGAGGAGGGAGGAGGAGGAGGAGCAGGAGGAGGAAGAGGAGGAGCGCACGCCCGTGCAGGTGGCCATGTAGCCTCGTCGAAGCACGCCCCGCTGGCAAGACGGCATCGTAAGCTGCAGCGAAGCTGGCGTGCCGGCCAGGCCGGCGGCCCCGCGGCTGCCCAGCTGGTAGCCAAGGCCGCGACCAGTGCGCGACCAGCCTCGCGAAGCTGGGTCTGCGACGGCGCCAAATATATGGCGAAGCGTGTCGGAACTTAGGCAGGGCTTCGAAACCTTTTGAAAGACAAGGTTCGAGGCCCAGGGGCGGTTATCGTCAGCTGCGCCTCGTCGAGAACGTTCTGGGGTGCCAGAATCGTTTCAAACGACTTCTTTTAGAATGTGTTGGAAATGCATCCCGAACAATGCGAGAAGAGAAGACGGAATCTCCGCCTCACAAAAATAGGGCGGGCAGTTCCGCAAAAGTGTAGCGAAAACAGCGACGACAAAGTAGGGCAGAAATCGACATCAACGGAACTTCATAAGTAGTGCAGATCTGTCTGCCATTTTGCAAAATCGACCAAAGTACGGCGGATCAGTATTCAGGCTGGGACTGGGATGCGGTCAGCGTCGCGCCGAAGTGTGATGGGCCAGAACTGGCGGCGCGACACGCTAATCAAAAGTTCACGACCCTACCCCACCCTCATTGCGCTGCGGAAAAAATCGAGACGGAGGTTTTTTGAAATTCTTGGACTCTGGGAGGCTTTCACCAGTTTGGAGGGCCACCCAAAAACTGCATGGGGCGAAAGAGTCTAGACCTCTGGAGGGTCCACGTTGTGAAAAAAAACGGCATCCCAGTTCTGGGTGCACAGCTGCGCCGATCCTGGCCAGGCCCGTCCTTAGCCCGGGCCCTCCCAGAAGCCTCGGGCCCCTTGCAGGAAGCCCCGTGCCTTCTAAGAGGGCCGCCCCGTTCGCCCCGCCCCTTCTGCGCGCAGCCAAGACCAGCGTAAGATGCATGCTAAAGATGTCTGGTTGGGAAGGCATACAGTACCGGTATAGTTAGGCACGTGCGGTACACTGTTTTACGAGGCAGCTTGGAGGACCGTTTCGCGATGGCTGAGCTCGCTTGCCAGTGCAAAGACTCAAAGACTTACAAGACTCACAGACTTCATTCTCAGCTCTACTCGCTAACGCATCGCTGCCACGTCCCAGAAGCGCAGAAGCGTGGTCCCTTATGTGGGTAAGAAAGCCCGTCCCCCGACAGACTGAGCACGGAGCTCAAATTCTTGTCACTCTTTTGATCGGCGGCGCCTTGGATCCAAGTTGCGGTCGGAGCTCCGGCAGGGCTGCTGCGGTGCGAATCGGGCGCAAAGGCGACAAGGGAGGCCGGAAGGGAAGGAGGGAGAGGGCCGCGGACGGCCGGAGCGCCCTCAGAGCGTGCGCCGATCCTGGGCTCAGGATCGGCCTGGCCAGCATCGGTGCAGGCGCATACCTGGCGCCCTCCGAGGGCCTGCCTTGCGGCACAACCGCCGCAGGACATGCGGAGCCAGCCCTGCTGCCTGCAGCTTCGTGCACGTGCGGGGGGGGCAGAGGGTGCGCCAGCTGCCTGGGCGCTGCTGACGAAGCGCTTGGGGCGCAGCGAGAACCCAGACCCTGGACGTCGCCAGAAATCCGAAGCTCCAGCAAAATGGGAGCTGCCGGCTTTTTACTCTTCTCGGCCCCTGGGGCCTCTCAACGGGCCCTGGGACCGTCAAAAAACTACGCAGGACGAAAAAAACGGCCCCAGGGAAGTTGTCCAAACCTCCGGGGGTTCGCGCATCGAAAAACTTGGAGCGCAGAGTGTCTGGTCCATGAGGTTGTTGCAACGTCGACCCCTGGAGGTCTCGACCAACTCCCCGGGACCAGCCTCTCATCGAGTCGGTTTTTGGCGGCCCCGAGTCCAAGCAAAGGCTCCCGCAGGCCGAAACTGGCCCGAAAAAGCCGTCCGTCGTGATTCTTGTCACGACGCGAGGGGGCCTGGGGAGCTGCTGACGAAGCGCGTGGGGCACAGCGAGAACGCAGATGGCTCGGTCGACACAGCTGCCCTCGGGGGGCCTGCAGGCCGCACGCCTTCTCCCCAGACGGCCACGCGCGCTCTCCAGCCGAGCGTCGCCCAGAGCACGCTGTCAGGGGCGTCCAAGAGAGGGACCTCGCAAATCATGGCCCGAGGCAAGTGCGCGGACGAGGGGGGCACCAGGGGACGCCATGACAGAAGAAGAGGGGCAAGGCCTGACTGAAACAGTGCTTTCCGCTTTCGTTGCGGTGAACGTTTCCCCGCCTTGTCTTCGTTCCGCCGTTGCTGCAAAAAGAGACAAGAGAAAACGGCCCACGAAATCGCCAAGACACCGTTTGGATCGATCCCTGGAAAAGAAGACCATGGACCCCCAGGAAGACAGCATGGCCATGGCCACGCTATCCACACACACACACACACACCTAGACACCACCACCCTCTTAGACGCCTCCGAAATTAGCAGCATGGGAGCTGTTTTTTCCGGCCGACTGGGCCGTGGCTGTCGCCGTGGTGGTTAGTGTTGAAGCCCGACCTGAACTCGGGAGGCTTCAGGCCGCACGCCTTCTTCAGCTCCTGGTATTCGAGCTGCAGGTCCATTCTCCTCCGGTCGCCGAGACCCTTTTGCAGGAGAAGAAACCTGGCGCGAGCAGCATCCACCTGGAGGCTTTCTCGTTATTTGTGTGTGTGTGTTTTTTTGTTTTCTCTCTCTCTCTCTCTCTTTCTTGCCTCTCTCTCTCATTTGTTGTTTTTATCTCTCTCTCCGCATGTACAAATGTATATGTGTACATGTATGTGTATATGTATGTATGCATGTATGTGTGTATGTATGAATGTATGAATGTATGGATGTGTGTGTATGTATGCATGCGTGTATGTATGTAAGAATAGATGTATGTATGTATGTATGTCTGTCTGTCTGTTTGTCTCTCTGTCTGTCTGTCTGTATGTATGTATGTATGTGTGTGTATGTATGTATGTATGTAAATATGTATGTAAATATGTATGTATGTATGTATGTATGTATGTATGTATGTATGTATGTATGTTTATATGTATGTTTGTTTGTATGTATGTATGTGTGTATGTATGTAGTGATGTATGTTTGTTTGTATGTATGCATGTATGCATGTATATATGTATGTATGTATGTATGTAAGTATGTGTGTATGTATGTAGGTATGCGTGTATGCGTGCATGCATGCATGCATGCATGCATTAATCGATGTATGTATGTATGTATGCATGCATGCATGCATGTATGTATGTATGTACGGATGTGTGTGCATATATGTAGATGTATATGTTTATATGTATGTATGTATGTACGTATGCATGGATTGAGGTAGGTCGGTAGGTTGGTAGATAGGTATGACTGTATGTATGTGTGTATGTATGTATGCATGTGTGCATGTATGTATGTATGAGTGTATGTGTGTAAGTATATATGCGTATGTATGTTTCTACGTATGTTTATATGTATATACGTATGTATATGTGTGCATGTGTGTGCTTGCATGTATGATTGTATGTACGTATGTGTGTTGACGTATGTGTATGTATGTGTGCATATACACCTATATATAATTATAGGTGTGTCGCTCCTCTCCCTCCTCGTCCTCCTTGCTCCTCCTATTCCTCCTCCCTCCTCCTCCTCCTCCTCCTCCATGCATATCCCTTGTAAATAACTCTTCCGTGTCGCACCCCGAAGCTGGTCGAAGGGGCAGGCTGGGCGTTTCGCCTGAGATTGCCTCACCATCTGTGACCCTGGAGCTTAGACAGTGACAGTGGTTTCACAGATGGAGGGCGGGTCGCTTCTAAAATGTGGCTCTCGCCTCAGCGCCGCGCGCATTCGTTTTAACCATTTGAAGCAGCTTCACGGATTGAGATCGAGTCGTCTTCAAAGTGTGGCTCTCGTCTTCGTGCCGCGCACACTCGTCTTAACCAATTGCAAGAACTTCACGGATTGAGGGCCATTGGTTTTCAAACTGTGGCTCTCGCCTTAGCGCCTCGCACACTCTGTGTTGACATTTGCAGCAGCTTCACGGATTGAGGGCGGGCCGTTTTCAAAGTGTGGCTCTCGCCTTCGCGTGGCGCACACTCGTCGTCTTAAGCACATGCAAGGCTTCACGGATTGAGGCTTCTTTTCAAAATGTGGCTCTCGCCTTTGCGCCGCGTACATTCGTTTCAAACATGTGTAAGAGTTTCACGGGTTCCAATGGTCAGCGTACTAAGAATGGTGTTTGCAAGGACTCTGGATTGTCAGGGCGCAACAGTTACGATGATTGGTGGCGTTGAAATCCCAGGAATGGTGTTCTAGCACGATTTAGAATCTTCAGGATGCAACAGTCAAGTTGACTCGTGGCGTTGAGTCCCGAGAGTGTTGTTTTGGCACGCTTCAGGGGCTTCAGACGGTTGTCTCCCAACGAGGCAACTCCCTCAGTGGAAATGAACCCTTGTAGGGGCCTGTGAAGAAGGAGCCCCGAGGGAGGGTTTATTCCGACATCGTTGATGAGTCTTGGGTTTGCACTGGTCCTCCTCCTCCTCCTCCTCCTCCTCCTCCTCCTCCTCCTCCTCCTCCTCCTCCTCCTCCTCCCTCCAGACCCTCAAAGAGGATGACGGGGAGGAGGGGTGTGAAATCCCAGGCTGTACTCTGACTAGGGTCTACAACTACCCGAAGCGGAGCATCCAACTAGCCCGTGCGCAGTTCAGGGCGACCGCCCAGATGTAGATCACGCTCAACAGCGGATCCTGAAGCCCCTGTCGTGTGAAGGGCCACATCTTGGGGTAATCTTACGCGCGAGATCCGGATTGCCAGGCGCGAGAGGTCTAGCTTGGACGCGCCCCAAACATTGGATGTTCGATCATTTGTTCTGCCTCCGAGGCCACTCTGGACTCTGTACCTCTGACGCCCCTCCGAACAACAAAACCCTTTGATGGGCGAGCTGCTTCTTCGCCTTCAAACAGCGGGCAACTTGACTTGCAACGGAGAAGTGGCCTCTAGATTGGCCCGTCCTGAGCCTCGTGGGATAAGGCCTCCTGGGCCCTGAACCCACCTGGGGCTCGCTGGGGCGTACAGAGAAGCAAAAGTTATCAAGAACATGCTGCACATCGCCCTCGAACGAAAGCGGTGCGTGTCGACAGTGACTTTTGGGGGGGGACCCCTGGAAAGCATACTGGCACCTTCTCGGGCCAGTCGCTGTCCTTTTCTGAAGAGGAAATACTGCATAAACATAACTTCCGGAGCACCGCGCGGATTTTTGGGATCAGCGCGAAGCGCGCAAGGGGCGGCGCCGCAGGCGCCGCCAAGGGAGCCCAGCGTCGATCCAAGAAATCCGCGCGGAGCTCCGAAAGTGTCTGTTTGTGTTGTTGCTTTTCTCTGCTGTGTTTGCCCTTCTTGGCCTCACTCTGGGGCCGTCTTAGGGATCTCTCGGGACCGTCCTGGGCAATATTGGGGTCTCCTGGGGCCGCTTGGGGGCGCACCTGGGCCGTTTTGCGGCTCGCGGCGGCCCGCCTTGGCTAGACATATGGCAAGCTTTTCGTCTTCGGAAAAACTAGAACCGATGGATACAACCCTGAACCAAAAAAACGTGCCATCTCTTGGGTGCGCAACGTTTATTTCTACCAGCTTCCGCCAGCCTTCCGCTGGCTTCCGCCCGCAGCGCTGCCCCCATTTCATTTCCGCTCGCTTCTGCCAGCCTTCCGCCGCCTTCCACCAAGGAAGAGGTACCAACTCCTTCGGTCCTCGAAGGCGAGGCCCTTTCTGGAGCGCGCCATGTAGTGCTCGCCGCAGAGGTGGTGACGTGGTGACCCGCGTCTTGTGTGCCCCTACGGGGGGGGCCGCGGCTGCTACGGTGCCGCACGGCAGCGGCGAGGCGTTGCAACGTCTGGAAGACTATACCCACGTAAAGCCCAAAGGAGTCCGAAGACCACAGGGTCGGGCCCGCTGGTGATGACGGTAGTGACGGCCGAACCAGGAAGTTCCTCGGCGATCGAGGCGAGCACTCCGGCCCTGACAGCCGGGGACGGGGACGGGGCCGGGCGACGGAGATCGACCGCCGCGGGAGGGGCAACCCTGATGCCAGATCCGAATTCACATCGTGCCCGAAATGCACCCCAAACGATGCGAGACAGCAGGGCGGAAAGCAGGTTTTCCGAATTCACATCGTGCCCGAAATGCACCCCAAACGATGCGAGACAGCAGGGCGGAAATCTCCGCCTCAGGAGAGCGGGGCGTGTATTTCCGCAAAGGTATGGCGTAAATTGCGATGGCAAAGTAGACATCAAAGGAGCTTGAAAAGTAGGGCTGGAATTGCCGCCATGCATGATAAATCGCCCGAAGTCGGCGACTCCGAAAGGGATGTGATCTGCGAAGGGCGCGGCCTGCACCCCGCATCCAGGGGGGCGGGCGAGGACCTCGAATCCCCCTCCTCCTCCTCCTCCTCCTCCTCCTCCTCCTCCTCCTCCTCCTCCTCCTCCTCAGCATCATCATCGTCATCATCATCATCATCATCATCATCATCATCATCATCATCATCATCATCATCATCATCCTCATCCTCATCCTCATCCTCATCCTCATCCTCATCCTCATCCTCATCCTCATCCTCATCCTCATCCTCATCCTCATCCTCATCATCATCATCATCATCATCATCATCATCATCATCATCATCATCATCATCGTTTTTTATCCTCCTCCTCATCATCATCATCATCAGCAGCATCAGCAGCAGCAGCATCAGCATCAGCATCAGCATCAGCATCAGCATCATCAGCATCAGCATCATCATCAGCATCAGCATCATCATCACCCGGAGTCAGGGCAGTGGCCAGCGGGCAGGCGGGGGCGGGCCGAGCGAAAGAGATCTTGAAATCGGTGTCAGCGGAATTCGGCTGCACGCAGGAGTGACCCGAGGCAGGAGTGGCTTTTGGCGCGCACATCAAGGGGGCGCGAGGTGGCCAAACCCAAGTGCGCAGACCGCTGCAATCTCACCGCGCGCAGTCAGCGCAGGGTCGCTCTTACGCGTCGCCGAGGAGTTCACGGCGAGGGAATTGGATAAGAAATTACCCCAGCGCGACCCTACTTAGGAGTTGGAGCCCCCAGGAAAGCAGCATTAGTAGTAACGGTAAACGCCGTCCTCCTCCTTCTCCTCATCGTCGTAGTTGCCTTTGCTTTTTCCCTACCTAGGCTCTGCCTAGAGGGTTCTTACTCTCTTTCTTAACGGGGCCGGGCAGTGGAAACCGCCCCGGGCGGTTCCCCCGGTATCCGCCCCGCGGTTCCCCCAGTTACGCACCCTGAGCTTAGCGTTGCTAAACTCATCTTAGCTTAGCTTAGCTTAGCTTAGCTTTAGCTTAGCTTCATCTTAGTTTCACTTAGCTGTAGCTTAGCTTAGCTTCATCCTAGCTTCGTTTAGCTGTAGCTGTAGCTGTAGCTTAGCTTAGCTTAGCATATCATAGCATAGCGCAGCATAGCATAGCAAATCGCAGCATAGCATAGCATAGCCTAGCATAGCATAGCGCAGCCTAGCATAGCATAGCATAGCGCAGCATAGCATAGAATACCATAGCCTAGCATAACATAGCGCAGCCTAGCGTAGCATAGCATAGCGCAGCATAGCATAGCATAGCATAGCATAGCATAGTGCAACATAGCATAGTATAGCATAGCATAGCAGCAAAGCAACGACAAAACAACAGCAGCAACAGCAAAGCAAAGCACAAACAACGCAAAGCAAAGCAAAGCAAAAGTAAAAGCAAAGCAAAGGAACGGCAAAGCAAAAGCAATGTGCGACAGATGCCGAGCTAGCCTCGATGGCCAGACCATAGCCCCCGCAAGCAGTGCCTTCCGTAGCCATTTCGGCTTAAGCCCGGAGGCCCTGCCACACAGCATTTCGGCTCAAGCGCGAAGGCAAAGCAAAAGCAAAACCAAGCAAAAGCAAAAACAAGCAAAAGCAAAGGCAACTAAGACGATGAGGAGAAGGAGGAGGACGGCGTTTACCGTTACTACTAATGCCGCTTTCCCAGGGGCTCCAACTCCTAGATAGGGTCGCACTGGGGTAATTCTTGTTTTTGCTTTTGCTTGGTTTTGCTTTTGCTTTGCCTTCGCGCTTGAGCCGAAATGCTGTGTGGCAGGGCCTCTGGGCTTGAGCCGAAATGGCAACGGAAGGCACTGCTTGCGGGGGCTCCGGTCCGGCCATCGAGGCTAGCTCGGCATCTGTCGCACATTGCTTTTGCTTTGCCTTTCCTTTGCTTTGCTTTTGCTTTTGTTTTGCTTTGCTTTGCTTTGCGTTGTTTGTGCTTTGCTTTGCTGTTGCTGCTGTTGCTTTGCCTTTGCGTTGCTGCTATGCTGTGCTATGCTATGCTATGCTGCATCATGCTATGCTGTGTTATGCTATGCTATGATATGCTATGCTATGCTATGCTATGCTATGCTGCGCTATGCTGCGCTATGCTATGCTACGCTAGGCTGCGCTATGATATGCTAGGCTATGGTATGCTATGCTATGCTGCGCTATGCTATGCTATGCTGCGTTATGCTATGCTATGCTGGGCTATACTATGATATGCTCAGCTAAGCTAAGCTAAGCCAAGCTAAGCTACAGCTAAGCGAAGCTAAGCTAAGCTAAGCTACAGCTAAGCGAAGCTAAGATGAAGCTAAGCTCAGCTACAGCTAAGCGAAGCTAAGATGAAGCTAAGCTAAACTAAGCTAAGCTAAGCTAAGATAAGGTAAACAACGCTAAGCTCAGGGGGCGTGACTGGGGGAACCGCGGGGCGGATACCGGGGGAACCGCCTGGGGCGGTTTCCACTGCCCGGCCCCTTTTAAGAAAGAGAGTAAGAACCCTCTAGGCAGAGCCTGGGTAGGGAACCGTTGGGTAACGATTACAAAGTCTGGAGGCCAGTGGAACGCCAATCGTGGATTGGTCATGCAAATTACTGCCGCCCTCGCCAAATGCGGCAAAATGCGAAGCGGCAAAAGCGATGAAGTGGGAGAAGGCTTGTGGCTCAGACGCTATCCCTGGAGATTTCTGGAAGGCTATCTGTCGCCGAGACTCACCAGCGCGAACTTGGGCCGTTTCGTTGTGTCAGACATGCTGGGAAGACGGTGAGATCCCGCGCAGCTGGCACGAGTCCGTGATGATCTCCATCTTCAAGAAGGGCGACCCAGCCGCGTGCCAGAACTACAGGCCAATCTGCTTGCTGCAGGCTGGATATAAGCTCTTCGCGGCACTTCTCCTGCGCCGCCTGAAGCGAGCTGGGGCCGAAGACAGAATTTGGCGGACGCAGTTCGGGTTTAAATCAGAGCACGGTACCAATGATGCCATCTTCATTGCGAGGCGCAAATTGGAGGAGGCGTGGACTTCTTGCGGTGGACTGGGTAAAGGCTCTCAATAGCGTAATGCCCGATTCTCTCGTCACAGCCCTCCGCCGCTTCGGGCTGCCAGACAAGATGTTAGAGAGTGTCCAGGCGATCTGCACCGACAGGCATTTCGCAGTTCGCGAGGCAGGCAAAACCTCGGGGCAGCGGGAGCAACAGGCTGGCATCTGCCAGTGTTGTCCTATATCGCCCATCTTATTCGCCATCCTGATGACTGTCCCCCTCCGAGACGCGAAGGCCTCGCTCGGCGACGCTGCTGGCGACGTCAGCGACCTGGTGCACGCGGACGACGCGCTGCTCATCGCCCCGGGCGCTGTGGAGGCGGAGCTGTACATGGAGGCCATCTCGGATGCTGGCGCCAGCTGCGGCCTGCAATATGACTGGGAGAAGCTGGAGCTCATGGCCACAGGTTGCAACGCATCTGCCACGATCAAACCTGACGGCTACCCCATACCAGAAAAGAAGAGCATGGTCCGCCTGGGGAGCGTCCTGACATCCGACGGGTCCGTCGGAGCGGAACTGAGCCGGCGGACTGGCCTCGCCAGATCCGTTTTCGATTCCTTACAGCGCATCTGGTCTCATTCTTCCTTGTCGACCAGAAGGAAGCTCATTATATGCGCGGCATGCGTTGAATCGACGCTCTTGTACTGTCTGCTGACGTCTTGGCTGCGCAAGCACGAATTAGCGAGGTTGAATGCATTTCAGGCGCGCTGCCTGCGTAAAATTCTTGGCATAGCGCATTCATGTGTCAGTCGCGTCCCCAACGCCGAGGTTCTTCAGCGAGCCCGGCAGGCCAAGCTCAGCGACCTTTTGTTGCAGCGGCAGTTGATTTTGTTCGGTGATATTGCGCGCAAGTGCAACAACCATCCTGTCAGGCAGGTCGTTTTTCAACCTTCCTCCTCCGACCTGGTACAGCAGTCCGACCGCCGAAAGAGGGGCAGGCCCCAGCAGGCGTGGGCGTCAGAGTTGTATAAGCATGCGCAGCATATTTATCGTTATGTTGGTTGTCATATAAGTACGTAATTTGGGCACCTTGACAGCAGAAGCCTGAAAAGCGGCAGTGCGCAAGTATACTGTCTAGCCCACGCTCGTGCAATTGCTCATGTGCCTACGGACACGCGGCTTCATTCATTCATTCATTCCTCATCAGATGAGGAATCCCCCTGAGTCTGAAGCCTCCTGGGCACAATTCCGTTCGATGTCAGCACCGTTCGGGGAGGCTTCTGAAGAGCCCGTTCGATGTCAGCACCGTTTGGGAAATGTGGAAAATTACACCCTCGCTGCAGGATGAACCGGTTGTGACTCCAACGCAATTCAAAACATTGAAAGATATTGCTTAGCGTTGCTTGCCATTGCGTAGAATAGTTGCTTTGCATTGCTTGGCATTACTTGGCATTACTTGGCAATGGGTTTGCACTGCTTGGCATTCCATGGCATTACATGGCGTTGCTTGGCGTTGCTTGGCATTGGCTTTGCACTGCATGGCATTACTTAGCATTCCTTGGCGTTGCTTGACGTTGCTTGACACTGCTTGGCAATGCTTGGCAATGCTTGGCATTGGCTCAGCATTGCTTGGTATTATTTGGAGTTGTTTGGCATTGTCTGGAATCGTTGCTTTGCATTGGTTTGCATTGCTCAGGAGAGCCCCGTACAACGCCGAGGAACCCCGAGCAACGCCAGGGGCGGAGATCTCGTGCCTGTTCAGTGTGCAGGAAATCATGCCCGTGAGACCCAATGCCAATGCAGGCACAAGCAGACATCAAGCCAGCCTCCTGTGAGCTGTAGAGGTAACCCTGGGCCGAGCAAAAGAGGGGAAGTTGTCTTGACGATCGGTGCAGCCGCAGTTTGCTCCAGCTCCTCCCTCCCGCCCACGCCCATCCATTTCCTTCCCCCCATCACTTCCCCTCCCTTCCCCCTCCCCTCCAAGTCCCATTCCCCTCCCCAAGCCTGGAGAAAGGAGTGAGGGTAGGAAGTACTGACAACGAGCTCTCGTATTCCCAATGGCCTCAGGCCTCAGGTGCGGCTCCCCAAGTGGCAAAACCTACATGAGGCACGCGACCTCCCGAAAAGATGCCTGCCCCCCCCCTCCTTCTAGGGACTCCGTGCTAGATTTCGGCACTATGAACCTTGCCGATTCCCGTAATTTTCTTCATGTAGAAATCGGCGTTCGCGAGCGCTTCGTGGTTGCCGATCTTGTTTGCTTCCCAGTCGTGGAGGACGAGGTCGATGCTCATCATGTAGCTAACGTATCTCTCGTCTTGTAGCTCCGCATGAGATTTGGTCGTATTGGTCTGGCCGCCGAACCAACTCCCCCCACTGCTTTCTTCTAGCTTCACGTCATACCGCTTGTCATGCGACGGAACGGCCATGACGCTCACGCCGCAAAACAAGCACGCGACCAGCCTCTTATGGGAAGGGCGAGCTAGAGCCAAAACGAATACGAACACCCTTTCCTTGCATGTGCGACTTCGCGTCGAGGTTCCACTTGCGCCCATAAGTGGGCAGCGGCTCCATGTCTCCCGTAGTGACGCCCCCCTCGGCACATGTTGAGAAGGGCGGGGGAGGGAGGAAGAGAAGAAGGAGGAGGAGGAGGAGGATGAGGAGGAACAGGAAGAGGAGGAGGAGGACCAGAAGGAGGACGAGGAGGAAGAGGAGGAGGACCAGAAGGAGGACGAGGAGGAAGAGGAGGAGGAGGAGGAGGAGGAGGAGGAGGAGGAGGAAAGGAGAGGGAGGAGGAGGAGCAGGAGGAGAGGAGGAGGAGGAGGAGGAGGGGAGGAGGAGGAGGAGGAGGAGGAGGAGGAGGAGGAGGGAGGAGGAGGAGGAGGAGGAGGAGGGAGGAGGAGGAGGAGGAGGAGGAGAGGAGGAGGGGAGGAGGAGGAGGAGGAGGAGCAAGGAGGAGGAGGAGGAGGAGGAGGAGGAGGAGGAGGAGGAGGAGGAGGAGAGGAGGAGGAGGACGGACAGGAACACGAGCAGGAGCAGGAAGAGGACGACGAGGAAGGAGGAGAAGGAGGAGGAGGAGGAGAGGAGGAGGACCAGGAGGAGGAGGAGGAAAGGAGGAGGGAGGAGGAGGAGGAGGACCAGGAGAAGGAGGGAGGAGGAGGGGAGGAGGAGGAAGAGGAGGAGGAGGAGGAGAAGGAGGAGGAGGAGAGGAGGAGCAGGAGGAGGAGGAGGAGCAGGAGCAAGAGGAGGAGGAGAAGGAGGAGAAGGAGGAGGAGGAAGAGGAGGAGGAGGAGGGGGAGGGGGAGGAGGAAGGGGAGATGCACGGGCTTCGCCTGCAAAGAACGAGACTATGACCCTGCCGCCGGTTCCCCGATCAGCCTGGGCCGGCCGCCTCATCAAGTGCCACAGAGCCTCGTGCGCTCGGCGCGCACGCTCGGCGCGCACGCCTCGGTGGCGCCCCTGTTTCTGTTGAGGGGGGACGAGGAAATTACACATCCCAGGGCGGAGGAGGAGGAAGAGAAGGAGAAGGAGAAGAGGGAAGAGGGTGAGCAAAAGGAGGAGGAGGAGGAGGAGAAGAAGGAAGGAGGAGGAGGAGGAGGAGGAGGAGGAGGAGGAGGAGCAGGAGCAAAAGGAGGAGGAGGAGGAGGAGGAAGAGGAGGAGGAGACAAGACAAGACAAGACAAGCTCGTGGAGTCCTGCAGCAGGGACGTGTCCTTGACGCCGAGGGCTCTGAGGGGGCGGCTGTCCGCCAGCTTCAGCACAAGCGCAGGCCGCGCGCTCCCCGATTGGGGCACGGGCCCAAGCAGCAACCCCAGGGGCACAATATCCCCTATAGGGCGCCGCCCGCAGGGCGTGAGCCCTTCGCTCCACCTTTCTGACCCTTCTGAGAGTGGGGCGGGCGGGATCTGGGACGAGCGGGGCGAGCAGGGGCGAGAGTGGCCACTGGGATGGACGGAAGAGCAGCATGAGAATATGTAGCAATATGGACCTGCGTGGCGCGATGCACCACCTCAGCCGAGACGGAGCCCCTGCGCATCAACTCTGCAAGCCTCTCACTCCTGAGAAGCGCCTGGCGGCTAGGGAGGCCAGGGGGGCTCAGCTCTTGTTGCCCAGGCTGATGATCTCCCGCGCCAAGGGCCCCCGCGGGGCTGGGCCTGACATCCTCTCCGCCGACTGGCTCGTCATGACCTTGCCCATCAGCTCGTGAAGAGCGAGGCCCGCTGGAGACCTGCCATCCATCGCCCACTCGAAGTGGCCCGCGCGCTCCTCGCCATCTTTGATCTTGTGGAGGCGCACGCGGAAGACGCGGACGATGAGCCCCAGCTCGGGCAAGGGGGCGGACCTGAGGTCCGTCATGGCCTTGATCACCACCGTCTTCATCTCCTCGTCCTTCTTCTCCGTGAACAGCGAGACGGCGGCGATCATGAACGTCGTGAAGATGTGCAGGTGTGGACTCCCTCGGCCTTTCCAATCCTGGGCCTCGCCCTGGGTCTGAGCCTTCTTCATGTCCTTGCTGGCGTTGTTGTACTCCTTGCCCGCGCGCACGCTGGCCTCCACGAGAGAGTTGACGGCTGGGAGGACGGCGCATTCGTAGACCGTCGACTTCAGCTCTGCGACGTCCCGCTCGAGCGTGACGAGGAGGCGCGCCATGAGGGTCACGAGCTTGGCCTGGACGCTGCCCTTGCCGCCCCTGCCCGTGCTGACCTCCTTCGCGCCCTTGTCCTTCCCGCCCTCTTTCGCATCGTCCTCGGCGCCGGCCTCGAGGCGGCGCTTCTTGTCTTTGAACCACGCTGGCAGGGGTAAATCTGCACTGCCCTGCCCCTGCGCCGCCATCCCCGCGACCACGAGCGGAGGTGGGTGTCGCCACGTGGACTGGAAGATGCTGTTGAACCAAATGGCAACAAAGCCCGTCGAGATCTGCCCGTTCGCTTTGGCAGAGACGACACGAGTGCGAGTTGGGCTGCACAAGAGGCAGAAGTGCGCGCCCTCCTCCCACGGGGCAGGTACCTTTAAGCACGGCCGTCTCCAGATGCCTCCCTGCACACCACCTATCACGAAAGACGGCCTTGCAGCAAATACAGATGTTGGTAGGCGTGAGCACAGCCGAGAGCTTACGTTGGTGATGCGCAAAGCGAAGATGGTTCAACAACTGCTTCCGCGTGTGAAACCTGCTCTCACAGCCAGGGACATTACAGCACCAAGTGGGGCCCTTAGGGACATCTGGCAGGACGTGCGTACCAGAGGAAATTGCTGCAGAGGTCCCCTCGTAATCACACGGCTGCATAACACGACCACTGCTTGAAATCTGGCCTGCATGACCCAGGGGTGGGACCTCAACCGAGAAGACCCTCGAGCGAATCTTAGTCATGTCGATGGCAAGGAACTCCACACTCCGATCACGATCTGCCAGGATCCTCAAGTCGTGGGCAACGTCCTCAATGCACTGCTCATCTATAAGTTGGGCTGCTGCACTTAGATCCTCCACCACCTGTCGGGCCCACGGCGAGGCCCATTGAGTCAGCTTTCCTCCCAAGCACGGCGGCCGAGAGGAATCGATCTCCAGGGACCCGAAAAGCGCAATAAGAACCTGGGAAGCCCCTTCAGGATCAGCAGCCCAACTTTGGCACAGCCGAAGGCGACGGATGTGTAGTTCGACCCTGGAACCCGTGAGCTCCCAGAAATCCAGAACCTGCTGCGTACTCATACTGTGCACGCGCTCCCCCTCCCAGTCGGTGGTTTTGCCCTGCATCGCGGTTCGCGCTAACCCAGCCATACGCCCGTCCAACAAAGAATAGTCTCGAGGAGAAAGCCAGAAAGCCTCAAGAGCAGACAACAGAGCATTTTGCACCAGGCCTTGCAGCAGTGAGCGCTTATGTCGACGAACGATGGGTAGCGACCAAATGCCCCCTAGTGAGAAGAAGGCCCGCCTGGCTGCCTCGCAACGCCTAGCAACTTCGTGGTGGGCGCTGTCCCGAAGAGCAAAATGGGGGCCTAAGTACCTGGCGTCTTCTTTAGGAACCCCCGCAAGACCGAAACGATCAGCAACACGAAGCAGTTTACGAAAATAATGCGAGCCAGCCCCCGAGAAGTAGAACAGGAACTCTTGCTTACTCATATTCTGGGCCAGGCCAAAATCCGAGAGGGAATCGTTCAACAGGGCATCGGTCTCGGAGATCTTATCTAAGAAATCGACAAACGTCATACCCTCAGTCGCAACGATAAACTTGTTCAGGTCATCTGCGTATTTTAAGAGCGACAAATCGGTCTGGAGGTCGCCCCACTTCCCCCTCAGGGCCTTCGCCATCGGGCCCACGTCCATCAGATGTCTGCTCCATCTCAGAATAGGTCTAGAAAAAATGTGCAGTAATGTTTTTACCACAAATGGATCCCCCATTACCCCGCCCTCCCGTGTTTTTACTGTGATCTTGCCGTCGCTGCCAGTAAGCTCCACCGCCGACAAGTGATAGCGCTGTTTACAGAGATCGGTATCCTCAGGCCGGGTGTGGATTTCCATACTCACGTCCATGGAGTCCCAGGAGGTGCTGGCGCAGGCGTTTGTCATATCCTTGAGCGTCATACAATGTGTACGTTTTATCTATCTCAACCTGTGGCTAATAATCTGAGCGATTAAGATCGGGTTCTCCCGCCTGCGCCCCTTGACGAAACCGTGGTCGAAGAGTGTGGCCCGACCGCTGACCCGAGAAGCGAAAAAAGCTCTGCCTGCGACTGGAAGTACATGTACCACCCTACGTCCACGAGGCCCGAGAGACATATTTTTATGGAGCGCAGCCCCCTGCGATAAATGCCAATAAAGCGGCGACGCGCAATAAGCCCTGACCTTCTGCAATCCGATTTTCAGGACATCCCAAAACAACCTGATGGAGAGGCTCTTCTTTTCCGATCCGAGGCCCGCTCTACTCCAGATACGCCAGTTGGGATAGAATAACACGTGCCACAGCTCCAATGGCATCGCCCCGCTCGGCACCGACCTTCTTTTTGGAGCTTTGCGAACATAGCGGTGCATGGACTGTATATCATGATCAACAAGCTCTCGAATTTCAGAATCACGAACCTCTGCGCAATCCTCCCCCTCCCTCGTGCTCCGCCACTCTTCCCAATCAAGTACTTCTACCGACATTCCCCCATCCTGGCCTGGCCCCTCCCAAACACGCATCCACTCGTCGCATGTGGGAAGAGCCGAGACGATCAATCTGCCGTCGCGTTGTTTAGGCCCGAAGCGGCAACGTGCCGCGGCCCGCAGAGCACGCATAGCCTCGGCGCCCCGACCTGTGCGAAGAGCTTCCTGGGCCTCCTCCACCAGGCGGGCGCGTCTTATCCGTGTCTGTGTCCGACGGGCCGACGCGAGTACCTTTGTGAGCTCCTTGAGCTCCTGGTCGACCTGGCCAGCGATCTCGGGGGTAGTGTCGAGTTTACTTTGGCGAAGAAGGGCGCGACGATGCAGGAGTTCCCGACGACGGCGACAATCTTCCGAATACGAAGGGCATGGAGGGCGTGATTTAGCGAAGTGTTGCTGCCCTGCTTCCACGATCGCCGTTTCGAGGCTCTCGAAAATC